TCCTCCGCCCTCCTCCTCCTCCTCCTCCTCCTCCTCCTCCTCCTCCTCCTCGCCCGGGGTAGAGCGGGGCACAACATCTACCCATGCCCACTGCCCCCTGGGCCTAGCCAGTCCTGGGCCCAAGAGCTATGCACGGCAAGTTCGCGCGGCGTCGAATCGCGCAGAGGTTCTTGGCACCGCGTCGATCGTTCAGGCTTGAATCGATTGCGGCCCCCACCGTTCAAGATTGAATTTCGTCGGGTCCAGTGGCGTTACCGTGTCCATCGGTGCTTCCGCGTCGCAAAACTCAACCTTGAACACCTTCGCTGGCGTCGCCCGCGTGCAAACGCCGCACGAGCCCAGCGTATACGCCTCCCCGGCCATGCCAGGAGGGCGTGTACACCGCTGCTGGGCCCAGGGCGGGCCAGGCCTGGGGCGGTGGAGCCGTACGGATCTCGTCGCCCCCCGGGGAGAGGGCCGCAGGAGCCCGAGGCCGGCGAAGACAGTCCAGGGCCCCTTCTCGGGTGTCGCTAGAAGTACCCCCGGCCCAAGGTACCCCCAGGATTCTCAGGGTGACCCAGACGGCCTCCAGGGCACCCCCTCACGAGGCCCAGAGGGCCCTCGGGGGCTCCAGAACGGAGCGAGAAGCTGGGGGGGCACCTTGGGCCAGGGGCACTCCTGGCCACCCCCGACGTCTCTCCTCTCCTCCCGGGCCCCGGGTGCGCCCGGGCCAGGAGCTCCCGAGGAGCCCCGCGGAGGCCCGCAGATCGAGCGTGGGCGGCGCCAGCGGGCAGCCGGGGCCCCCGAGCCTCCCAGGGGACCGCGGAGAACGGCAGCCGCCGGTCGCAGGCAGCGCGCGGGAGCAGGAGGCGGGCGGGCGGGTGACGCCGATGGGGTTCGGGCCCGCCCCGGTCCTCCGTCTCCCGGCGCGGCGCGCGCGTGACCGCGTCAGGCGCCGCGCAGTGCACTCGTGGCGGGCCCTCCCCTGGCGCTCGTGCCTCTGCACAACGCGCGCGCCGTGCGCCATCACAACACACAGAGGCAGCGAGGGCGCATCGGCTCTCTCTTGGAGGTGGGCCGGGATCTGGGAATCCAGCGAGACCTGCGTTCAACGATCGGCGTGGGGGTCGCAGATCACTATTCACCAAACCACCCCAACCCAACCTGAAGGTCCCAGACCCTCCCAAGTTTTGGTGTCGGGGCTGTGCGGGTTCCATCCTGATTCCTCAAAATGTTCTGGAGTGCCCCCTCACCAGAAATCGACGACTCCAGCGGTGGCGTCGGGTTGGGTTGGGGTATTTCGGCATGTAGTCAGAAGGAGAACACACCGGCATTCTAAGTCTCCCAGATGGGGTCCGAGTTGATGGTGTCGGAGGATCGCACCGCAGATCGATCGGCGATGGGCCCCCGACCGCGAAGCCGCACGCCACGGGGCGGGGTGCGGAGCATCGGGCCCCCACCGGCGCTCACTGGGCGACCGGGGGCCGCTGCCTCCTCGGAAGCCACTGTCGACGACGAGCGAAGGGGGGGAAGTGAGGAGGAGAAGGCCTTCGCAGAAGGCGGCGGGGCTCCTCCGAGGCCTCGCGCCTTCTGAGAGGTTTTCTTCCGTCTCCTGGGAAGGCTCAGAGAACTTCTCACCGGGCCGGAAGACTTCCGAGCCGTCCGAGAAGGCCCGCCCCTTCTTGCTTCCCCCCCTCGCTCCCCGCCGATCAGAAGCCAAGACCTAGACGACGTCGGACCGGGCCAGAAGCAGGGGCCCCGCGCGCAGCGGGCGCCAAGGAGCCGTTCCTGAGCGCGCGCCCTCTCTGGAACGGCCGCGGCTCTGAATGGCCTAAGCGCTGTCCACTGCGCAGCGGAGTGCTCCGAGGGCGATCTGGAGCACTCTGGACCGACGTGTGTATCCCGAAACTGGGCCAAATCCCGACGCCGCTGTCGGCGGCGAGCGAGGGGGGAAATGAGAAGGAGAAGGCCTTCTCAGAAAGGCGGCGGGGCTTCTCAGAAGGCATCCGGCCTTCTGAGAGGTTTTCTGTGTTTCCGGGAAGGCTTAGGAAACTTCTCAGAAGGCCTGGGGACTTCCGAGCCTTCTGAGAAGGCCTGTTCCTTCTCACTTCCCCCCCAGGCTCGCCGCCGAGAAAGGCCAGCTCCCAACGCCACTGACTCACGCGACGACCGCAGAGGCCTCCCAGATGGGGTCGGAGTAGATGGGGTCAAAGGATCGCGCCGCATAGCCGATGCATCGGCGATGCACTGGCGACGTCGGCGACGTCGGCGACGTCGACGGTGCATGGGCGGCGTCGGGGTGCAGAAAATCGGGCCCCATATCGAGCAGCTTCGCCGATGCATCAGCGATGCGGCGCGATCTTCCAACCACATCTACTTCGACCCCATCCATTGCAAAGGCCCAGAGTCGGAGGCGACGACAGGGACGAATAGCCCCAGGGCGAGGTACACGTGTATCCAGAGGGGCCGACGGCCCTGCCTTCGGCGAGGCTCCCAAAGGATGCGTCTCTTGCCCGCCCCTGGGCTATTCGCCCTTTATCGTTGCCGCCAATACATAGGAGAGTGGCCGAGTGGCCCCTCCCCACGGCGGCCTCGACTTGCTGTTCTGGCGGCGCGCGTCCGGCTGCGGCTCGGAGCCGCCGCCCGACGCCGCGGCGTTCCGCGCGGGCGGCGGCCAGTCTGGAGGCGGCCACGGCGCGAAGGCCGCGAGCTCGTGCTCCCTCCAGGACTCCTTGCGCCGGCGGCGGCCACCGCAAGGGCGACGACGACGACGACGACGATGACAGCAGCAGCAGCAGCAACAGCAACAGCAACAGCAACAGCAGCAGCAACAACAGCAACAACAGCAACAACCACAACAACCACAACGACAACGACAACGACAACGACAACAACAACCACAATAACCACAACCACAACAACAACAACAACAACAACAACAACAACAACAACAACAACAACAACAACAACAACCACAACAACAACAACAATAACAACAACAGCAACAGCAACAGCAACAACAACAACAACAACAACAACCACAATAGCAACAGCAACAGCAACAGCAACAACAACAACAACGACAACAACAACAACGACAACAATAGCAGCAGCAACACCACCAACAGTAACATCAACCACAACCAGAACCATAACCACAACAACAACCACAGCAACAACGACAACAACAACAACAACAACAACAACAACAACAACAACAACAACAACAACAACAACAACAACGGAGCAACCTTTAACGCGGCCTCGTGACGGGGCCGGGTCCACCAATTGGGACGCCCGAAATGGGTACGGAAAGAATGGGTACAATGCCCAACAACAAATGTTGTCCCAAACCAGCAGCGGCCGCTGCTGGGCATGCGGCCTTCTGTCTCGAATGGACACAGGCCGCCGCGGCGCGGACAGCGAGTCCTGTTCAAAATGAACAAGAACTGCGGCATCGTACTCATTCTTTCCGTGCCCATCTCGTTCGTGCAGAACCAATCGCAATTCACGGCGCACCAACCCTTTACCCGGCACCGTGTCCAATAGGTTGGCGCTCACGGAATGAGGACCCCGTCGCCGGCCCAGGGGGGAGCGGGGCACGACAAGGGACACGCACACGCCATGCACCAACCTTTAACCCGGCCCCGTGTGAAAGAACAGCGAGAGCTGCGCTGAGACTGTGGCCAGAGCCCCATAGTCGGGCACCCCCGCCGGGGCTGGCGACAGGGTCCCCACTCCGTGAGGGGGGTGTAGTAAGCGCTGTAGCGAGAGCTGTAGTGGGAGCTGTAGTGGGAGCAGTGGCGGGAGCTGCAGTGGGAGCTGTACTGGGAGCAGCAGTGGGAGCCGCAGTGGGAGCTGCAGTGGGAGCTGTAGTGGGAGCTGTAGTGGGAGCCGTAGTGGGAGCTGTAGTGGGAGCTGTAGTGGAAGCTGTAGAGGGAGCTGTGGTGGGAGCAGTAGTGGGAGCAGTACTGGGAGCAGTATTTGGTGGGAGCCGTAGTGGGAGGTAGCTGTAGTGGGAGCTGTAGTGGGAGCTGTAGTGGGAGCTGCACTGGGAGCTGTAGAGGGAGCTGTGGTGGGAGCAGCAGTGGGAGTTGCACTCGGAGCTGCAGTTGGAGCTGTAGTGGGAGCTGCAGTGGGAGCTGCACCGGGAGCTGAGTGGGAGCAGTAGCGGGAGCTGCAGTGGAAGCTGTAGTAGTAGGAACTGTAGCGGGAGCTGCAGTGGGAACTGAATTGGGAGCTGTAGTGGGAGCTGCAACGGGAGCTATAGTGGGAGGTGCAACGGGAGCTGTATTGGGAGCTGCAGTGGGAGCTGTATCAGTCTTCATCAGCACCATCATGGTGATGGGAGCAAACTTGGTATGGAAGTGTGAAAATACGTAGCGCCCCGCAGATGCGGGGCGGTGGGGACGTTAGCAATCTGCGAGACTCTGGAGAAGCTCGCCGCATGCGCCAAAGTTTCACAAATTATACAACGAGCCCGCCGCAGGCGCAGATTCTTCGGTTAAACCACTGTGGGTAGGTCGCGGGTGGGTCGCAAATGGGTCGCGGCTGGGTCGCGGGTGGTTCGCGGGTGGGTCGCGGTTGGGTCGCGGGGGGGTCGGGGGGGGTCGCTGGTGGGTCGCGGGGTGGGTCGCGGGTTTGGTCGCGGGGGGGCGTTGTTGGTCGCGGGAGGGTTCGGGGTGGGTTCGGATGGGGTCGCGGGGTGGGTCGCGGGTGGGTCGCAAGTGGGTCGCGGGTTGGGGTCGGGGTGGGTCGCGGATGGGTCACGGGGTGGGTCGCGGGTGGGTCGCGGGGTAGGTCGCGGGTGGGTCGCGGGTGGGTCGCGGGTGGGTCGCGGGGTGAGTCGAAGGTGGGTCGTGGGGTGGGTCGCGGGTGGGTCGCGGGGTGGGTCGCGGAGTGAGTCGCGGGATAGGTCGCGGGGTGGGTGGCGGGGTGGGTCGCGGCTGGGTCGCAGGCGGGACGACGACGACGACTTCAACAACAACGACAACGACAACGACACCAACAACAACAACAACAACAACAACAACAACAACAACAACAACAACAACAACAACAACAACAACAACAACAACAACAACAACAACAGCAAGCAGAATCTTCACCACGGATCCCCACTTCAGCCACGCACCCAGGGACAATGAACGGCAGCTCAGCCCCCTCACTCTGATGAATTCGCCGGCCTAATGGGCCAGAGGCGTGCTAAGATCTCCGGTAACTACTTAACCATATTTCTAATTCGCGCGCGCGGGGCGGGCCCTGGGGGGCCACGGACGAGAAGTACCCCGGCTGATCCCCGGCTGGGTCCCGGCCGGGTCCCAGGCGATCCCCAGGGGGGAGGCTATTTTTCGCCACCCGTCTCGAGGATCGTGGCCTCCGAGGGGGGGGCTGCAATCGACTACCCCCTCTCGCGCCCCAAGGGGCCCCCAAGAGCCCCCCAAGAGGCCCCAGGGGAGCCCAATACGCCGCCAAGGAGCCCCAAGACGATCCCAAGAAGCCCCCAAGAAGCCCCCAAGACGGCCCCAGGAGGCCCCAAACAGCGCTCCAGGGCTGGCGGAATGAGCGAAGCAAGTAATAATTGGAGAACAATCGAGCCAGAACGGCTTGCGGCGAGGAGGAGGAGGAGGAGGAGGAGGAGGAGGAGGTTGCGGGAGGAGAAGGTGGAGGAGGAGGAGGAGGAGGAGGAGGAGGAGGAAGAGGTGGAGGAGGACGACGACGACGAATAGGAGGAGGCGGAGGAGGAGGTTGTGGAATGGCGCGGTTGCATAAAGTCGTTGCCGCGGTGACACCTCGCGTGCCAACCCCTTTGAAGGGGCCCTGGGACACACAAATAAATGCACACAAATAAAAACATTCCCCATATTTTCCCATATTTTCTGGGTTTCTGTCTTCCCCCCCACTTCCCATATTTTCCCATATTTTTGGGGGAATCGACGATTAATTGTGTCTGTGTGTTTTTTCCCCTCCTGAGTTTCGTGGCACCGCCGCAATGCTAAAATACTGCGAGCGCCCACCGTGTGCCAACCGCTTCCCCGGCCCCGTGGGGGCAGCGCGTGGACAACCGCCCACGTGCGGACCACTGCCCCGGCCCCGTGGGGCCAGCCCGTGGTCGCCGAATCGCTGTAGCGCATCCAACTTGGATGTTAAGAGGCAACATTCAACCGCAAGCCGGGGCAGGGAAAAAGGTTGCTCCGAACCACAACAACAACAACAACAACAACAACAACAACAACAACAACAACAACAACAACAACGACGACGACGACGACGACGACGACGACGACGACGAGGAGGAGGAGGAGGAGGAGGAGGAGGACGACGACGACGACGACGACGACGACGACGACGACGACGACGACGACGACGACAACAACAACAACAACAACAACAACAACAACTACAACAACAACAACAACAACAACAACAACAACAATCATGTTAAGACTGTTCGCCCTTATCTGCTCGAGTGTCCAATAACGCGTATTTCCCAAACCCTCGATACCCGCCCTCTTCGTCTTCGATCGAACCCCTTTTGGGGGGTATACCTTTCTTCCCTGCAGGCCGGGCCCTGGCAAGCGGCGGGGCGGCCGCGGACCGTCGGCCTGGCCAGCGGCAGCGCTAATCGGCGGGGCGGCCGCGGACCGTCGACCCGACCCCAAGAGAGACGGACAGGGGACCGACCACGACGACGACGACGACGACGACGACGACGACGTCGAATACGACGGCGACGACGGCGACGACGAGCGAAAGCGAGAGCAAGAGAGAGAACGACGGCAGGGCCACGAAGGGCACGAAGTAGGCCACGAAGGGCGACAGCGGGGACACGAAGGGAATGCGTATGGGGCCACGAAGAGTGCGAAAGAGCGGGGGCCACAAAGTGCAGATAATGCGGGGCCACAGAAGGCAACTATGGGGCCACTGAGGGGCAGCAACTGGGCCACGTAGGACAATGAGGGGGACACAAATGGCGACAGCGGGGCCACGAAGGGCATGCACATGGGGCCACAACGGGCGCGACTCCTGGGTGCCTGGGTGTCGGGAGCGCGGCGCTTGGGCAAATTGCAAAAAAAAAAATACAACGCAAGGCTATTCTTCAGTAAGTTGCAAGCAAGTCTCCAGCGAGAGCGCGACTCCAGAGCTCCGGGAGAGCGATTCCTGAATAAATTGTACGGAAGTCCCAAGCGAGAGCGCGATTCCAGAATAAAATGCGAGGAAGTCTCGGGCGGGAGCGGGGGTCCTGCCTAAATTGTAAGGAAGTCTCAAGCGGGAGCCGTTGTTGTTGTAACCCGGGGGCCAGGGGCCCAGTTTGAGCAGGAAGACTTTCCCTGTCAAATAACAGGGTACGAGCGTCGACGGGCACACTTTGATTGAGAAAAAACAATAGCACAGCTTGGGTGGGGATCAACAATAATTATTCTTCAAAAATGAAAATCCAACAACAACAACAACAACAACAATAGCAGCAGCAGCAGCAGCAGCAGCAACAACAACAACAACAACAACAACAGCAACAGCAGCAACAACAACAACAACAACAACCACAACCACAACAACAACAACAACCACAACAACCACAATAACAACACTAGCAGCAGCAGCAGCTGCAACAACAACAACAACAACAACAACAAAACCACAACAACAACACCAACAACAACAACAACAACCACCACAACAACAACAACGACAACGACAACGACAACGACAACGACAACGACAACGATA